ACAATCAAGCCAAGACCTAAGAGATGAACAAGAACTGGTCACACTGTATGGGTGGAGCCGGCCTTACAGCAGAGGAAGCGGCACGTCTAAGGGCTCTGAGGCAGGAAGGGTCTTGGTAATTTGAGGAACAGAGAGAGGGCCACGTAGCTACAGTGCAGTGAACAACCCAAATGTCCATTAGCTGATGAACTGAATATATAAACAAGACACAGTATACCCATAATGGAATATTACACAGCCACAAAAAGAAATGAAGTATTATTATATACTATAAGAATAAAAACTTGAAAACATTATGCTAACTTAAAGAAGCAAGACATAAAAAACTGTATAATATATGATTGCATTAATGTGAAATATCCAGACAGAAACAGAAGGATTACTGCTTCCCTGGAGCTGGGGAGGGGTAAGCGACTGCCAGTAGGTATGGGATTTGTGGGGGGAGAGAGTGATGAATATATTCTAAAACTCACTATGGTAATGGTTACACAAAATAGTGAACATACTAAAAACCACCGAATTGTACATGTTAAGTATATTAATTGCATGACATGTGAATTATATATGAATATAAAGGTGTTTCTAAAATGTTATTTCTTTTCTTTTTTTGAAACAGAGCCTCAAGCTATCCCCCTGTGTAGAGTGCTGTGGCATCACAGCTCACAGCAATCTCCAACTTCTGGGCTCAAGTGAGTCTCCTGCCTCAGACTCCCAAGTAGCTGGGACCACAGGTGCCCGCCACAACACCTGGCTATTTTTTGGTTGCAGTGGTCATTGTTGTTTGGCAGGCCAGGCTGGATTCGAACCCACCACCTTAGATGTATGTGGCTGGCACCTTAGCCACTTGAGTCACAGGCACTGAGCCTAAAACGTTACTTCTTTAAATTACACAACTCTCACCCTTATACTGATGGTCAGAGTGTTGAACTGCACAAAGTTGTCCATAGTTCTCATGAAACCTCTTTATTCACTCAGAGGTGTACAGTTCCCTATAACTTCATGAATATGAAAGTATAGTCCAACTTGGTCACTGTGCCAAAAATAAAACTATACAGCTGGCTCAGCGCCTGTGGCTCAAGTAGCTAAGGCGCCAGCCACATACACCTAAGGTGGTGGGTTCAAATCCAGCCTGGGCCTGCCAAACAACAATGATGGCTGCAACCAAAAAAATAGCTGGGCGTTGTGGCGGGCGCCTGTGGTCCCAGATACTTGGGAGGCTGAGGCAGGAGACTCACTTGAGCCCAGGAGTTGGAGGTTGCTGTGAGC